GTGCTTCTGATAACTAAACAACAGTATGGACAAAATTCAGGCTTCTGGATGGTTACTGCTCCTATTTTTTTAGCTGTGTAGCATATTTTTGTCCAGTGATACTAGATTCAAAAACAAAAGCTGAGAGCTCAGACAGTTTTGAATGAATACCAAGCATTTTATTTTCATCGTGGTTCATCTGCAGTACCCAGCCCAATTCAAACTGGTGCATTTAGTGTACATTGACAACACAGCCATTATCATCACATCTTCTACTTCTTGTGACTGAGAATTTGAAATGGAGTTTTTCGACAACTTTGGCTCTGCAGTGACATTTTGACTGACTCACCAGCCTCAGCGTTACAGTCTGCTGTTCTTGTCCATGCTGAGATTGGATGCCCCTGAGGAAGAGAAGCTGTGAGAAGGGCAAAGGCCTCTTTCAGCAAGCAGCGTCTGCTTTTCTGAACTTCGACCTTTTTTCAGTCACATCCACACTAACTTCCCCGCTGGCCAGTTCATTCACACACGACTGCATATCTAACCTCTTAATTTAGTGACAAGAAAAAGAGAGTGAGAAAGAGAGGAACCCCCTGCTCTTGACATGCGGAACGATACAGTACAGCTCAGGACTGAACACCTACACACAAACTTACCTGTGCTGGACAGAAATAAACACTGCAGAGTTTCTTATTCCTATGCAGGTAAATTTAAGGTATTTAGTGGATGTGCTTATCCAGAACAACTTTGTTGTGCTTTGTTGTTCACTCCGAGAATGTATTATTAGCTAGCATAAATAGGTTGGAGTCCACAGTGCCCTTGAGCTAAGATGATGATAAAAACAAGAGTTATTGCCGACACTTAGAAACAAAAACACACAATACCTGCTACCAAGACGGTAATAAAACATTATATATGTGCAATATAATTCATTTTACAAGTTCATTCTCTGCTTCGTAGGCAGGGTTTTAAATCTGATGCAGGCAGCTACAGAAAGCCAGTAAAGGGAATGTAGCACTGGAGTCATATTAGTGAACCTGAAGCCGAATTATATTGCTGTGCCTGCATATCTGCGAAACATCTGTAGGCATCGTGCACACGTCGTTCTTAGTGTTTGCCAGCATGTTATGTAATATGATCATGCACACTAGGGGGTAATGTCCAATGAGGAATATACAGAAAATGAAGATGGAAGTCTTGCCAAGAATTAGTGTTCACTTCACTTGTTTGTAACATTTAGGAAAGTGGATTGCATAAGTGTTTGTAATGTCAAGCTTTTTCTGTCAACTAATCCTCAGAATGTTGAAGATGGAAACTTCTTGCTACATTCTGAATCAGGTGTAAAGGCCTGATGATACATGTAGTTAAACCAACAGAGAGTTGCAGTAGTCAAGTCTTGAGATGATGAGACTGGGCAAGAACCTGGGTGGCCTCTCTAGGGAGAAAGGGCTCAGCATGGCCTTTTTTGTGGAGAGGTGTGAATTGTTTTCACAGCAGAGGGTTCTCACTCCTCATTGCTTGCTAGCAGCTCAATGCAGTCACAACCTTTCACACACAGAGTCAACAGTGTCCTAGTTAATCTAATAACAGAATAATGTATGTGAATTAAAAATTATCTTATTCATTTCCATTCTACCAGCTGAAAGGCCTGCAGAGAGCAGCTGAAGGCATAATTGGATAACAGCAGGCGTATCATGGAAAATCAGCAAATTTTGTTCAACACAAAGTACCTAAAGTCAAACTGTTATAAAGAAGTACAACTTGAATTACTGCATGTCCTTGATAGAGTTCTTTCCACATTCCTCGTTAGGTTTCAGGCATTGTGAGGCCTGAGGTTGCATGCAACTGTGGGTGTACCGTGTGTGTCTGTGTGTGTTCTTTAGCTTGTGTTGTGAGGCAGCTGAACTCTCTTTCCCTCCGGGCTGATAGCCTTGATCGGGGCCGCTCCGCTTTGAGCTTTTGCTTGGCACACGGGAGGAAAAAAAAACAGTTACTCTCCTTTTTATAAACCGTCCAGAACATTCTCTCCCTTTCCTCTTCATAAACCATCCAGAACATTCTCTCGCTTTGAGCTTCAAGAGCTGTTCGGCCCATCAAGCCACATTGGTTTAAATGCTTGACTTTGTTGTGAGGAGAACATTCAAGTGTGTTCTGTTACAAAGGACTCAAGTCAATAGCTGCATGTTCACAGCAAGGTCTCAGACAGCCTACGCTGAGAGCTGGAGCGTGGGTGAGACAGCGGTTCAAGTCCGGTCCAATCAGAGAGCCTGCGCTGAGCAGAAATCTCTTGTCTTCTGATTTAGGATCAGCTCCTTTTATCAAGTGCCACTTTATGAGAACTACAGAAACTAAGCTTGAATCAGCAGGAAGATGCACTGTATGGCCAAAAGTATATGAAAACCTAACCATCTCATCTATACTGATCAGCCATAACATTAAACAACCCCCTTGTTTCTACGCTCATTGTCCAGTTTATCAGCTCCACTTACCACATAGGTTCACTCTGTAGTTCTACAATTACAGACTGTAGTCCATTTGTTTCTCTGCATACTTCGTTAGCCCTCTTTCACCCTGTTCTTCAATGGTCAGGACCTCCACAGGACCACCACAGAGCAGCTGTTGTTTGGGTGGTGGATCATTCTCAGCACTGCAGTAACACTGATGTGGTGATGGTGTGTTAGCGTGTGCTGTGCTGGTACGAGTGGATCAGACACAGCAGTGCTGCTGGAGTTTTTAAACACTGTGTCCACTCACTGTCCGCTCTATGAGACACATATACCTTGTTGGTCCACCTTGTAGATGTAAATGTCAGAGACGATAGCTCATCTGTTGCTCTACAGTTTGTGTTGGTCATCCTCTAGTCCTTCATCAGTGGTCACGGGGCGCTGTTGTCTGGATACTTTTGGATGGTGGATAATTCTCGGTGCAGCAGTGACTCTGAGGTGTTTAAAAATACCAGCAGCACGGTGTACATGAGCTTGTTGGACCTGCCATGGCAAAATCATGGGCCTTAATATCCTTAAAATCAAGGCTATTATCAGCTTAATAGCAACTATGAGAAGGCTTTCCACAAGATTTTGGAGTGTGTCTGTGACAAACCTTTCAGTCAGAAGAGCATTTGAGAAGTCAGGCACTGATGTTGGACGAGAAGGCCTGGCTCACACTCGATGTTGCAGTTCATCCCAAAGGTGTTCAGTGGGGTAGAGGTTAGATCTCTATTTAGGCCGCTGGAGTTCTTCCACACCACACAGTCATCCTGGAATGGGAAATGGTGTTCCCCTACACTTTTGCCACAAATTTGGAAGCATATGATTGTGTAAAATGTCTTTAGCCCTGTTTGAGCTGGGTTAGTTGTGCCTGGGCAGGTGCTGTAATTTGAGTGATTACTGATGTGATCCATGATTTTAATCCAGTATGAATCTGTATTTTTTACAAGTCTGCTAAGGAATAATTCAAACTACTTCCTGTAAATAGGCAAACTTGGAGCTCCCTCAGTAACAGTAGTCCCAGCTAAAGGTACTGAAGACTTGCAGGGACCCCCCTAGTGACAGTTCAGTACCTTTTTTCAGAGGGTGTAGGTTGTTCTTGGCACTAACAGAAGCAAACATGAACGTATCAGAGTGTTTGCATCCCCACCAAGTATCTGACCAATCAAAAGACACCCACTTCTTGCGCTGTTGCAATATTAAACCAACTGAACCAAATAAAAAAGATACAATATCACAAAAGCTTGTAGCAAACAAACTAGGTGTGAAAACAGCCTGATTTCTGTATCTGCACACAATAAGGCTTACTCATCAGCGCTCACAGCCTCCTTCGTGAGTATAGATTTTTCTTTGCATAACAAGAGGTCTGCTTTCTTATAGCTCAGTCGATTTCCCTTTTTATCTGTTATAACAAAGCTGTAGGTGCCCTTACAATCACGGAAAGCCAGGGTCCTTGACCGCAGAGAAATGTTTGATTATCCAGTATGATAAACTTTATCTCTCTCGTAGTAATGCTTTTAGCTTTAGCGCTGTCCGGGTTGCATTTTCTGATGCTTTAGTATGCTTGTACCCCAGAGGTGGTAGCATTAGCTTTTCCGAGAAGTGAAACTTGGGCCTTTTTGGTGGGGATTTTCCATTGATAAACACGTTCCTTACTGTCATGCTGTCCGGTGACTAATCAGGTTGTTGTATTAAAGTTTATAATAATAGTGCTGCCTTGTAAAATTTTAACAGAACATAGCCTGCAAATAGCGATTTTGCTGTAATTTATGCAACTCGCTAGCATGGTTCCACACAGCAGGCATATTTTACCCATCCCAAGAGCATTGAAGGCCAATGTAGTGGTGTCGTCCAACCCCCTTGCCCCTTAAATGACATTGCATTATTGGGCCTGACCATTGTAGTTGGCCTGCCAATCTGCCATAATACTAAATGTTGGCTAATACCATCATGCATCACTACAGGAAAGTCCATCTTCTTACTAGAATCGCTGCTTAACTAGGCCCTGTGCTGTATCTCACTGTGCTCATATGCTTTATTTTTGTGCAAATGAACATCTGCTTTCGCACTGCAGTTCATAAGACGGCTAACTCCTTCACTGATCTCACAGTTGCGCGCTTAATTATACCGCAGCCTGCCCGAGATGATCAAACAGCAAGCCGTGCTCCATATTTCATGCTAAATTGGACTACATTGATCGCTCTGACGAGTTTTAGCATTTGTGCTAATTTGAATTCTTTTTTGAGTTTAAATGTTTCCACGTTTTCTTCGTGGGTGAGGAGCCGTCGCCACTCGGTTCACTATAATGTCCCAGCCGCTGTATTTCATCTGCTTCCTCTCATACATGTTTCACCTCACTCCACCCCTCTGTCAGTTGCACACTCTTCTCTCAATCGCTCTTCCTCTCCCCCACCCTCTCTCTCTCTCTTTTCCTCTCTCCCACCCTCTTTCTCTCTTCCCCTCCCTCCTTTTTTTCCTTGTCTGCTCTCATCTGTTGCTAAACACTTTTAAACATGTCTGTCTCTCTTTTTCCTGCAGCTCCTGGAGGGCAGTTTCACCTCCCAGGTCAGTCACGAAGTGGATGGACTTATCTTCCAGCCCATCGGAGTGAGTAGAGCTCAGCTTGTTCATCCAGTATATACATGCATAATCACACACAAACACAGCTACTCATAGAGTTAATAAAACCCAAGGTGTCTCACTCAAAGGCAAAAAAGGCAGAATTTACTCAGTTGTCCCCTTGCGCCAAATGTGGATAATCAGCCAAGACATGTTTGGTGTCCTAATAGTGTTTGTTAAATAATCTCAACTTAATTTGCTTATGTGGTTTATGCCAGTGCCTTATTTTACAGCTGTAAATTGAACAATATTATGTCACTTAAAACTGTCAAAAACAGCAGTTGCAGCCATCTTCTAACATGAATTTTGTTCATTTTTGGTAATACTTTCATTTTACACATTTGCTAAAACAGCTAAATGACCTCCAAGACTTCTGGAATAATATTCTGTGGACTGATGAGTCAAAGGTGGAACTTTTTAGAAGACATGGATCCTGTTACATCTGACGTAAAGCTAACACCACATTCCACCATAACAACATCATACCAACAGTCAACCATGGTGGTGGTAGTGTGATGGTCTGGGGCTGCTTTGCTTCTGCAGGACCTGGACGACTTGTCATAATCGATGGAACCATGAATTCTATCAAAAAATCCTAAAGAGAATTTCCACCTGACAGTTCATGACCTAAAGGCCCTTTGTCACAGCAAGCTGTCTTAGGTGTCATGCAGCCTTTATGAACACTGCCCTAGAGGAAAGTATTACCAAAAATGAACAAAATTCATGTTAGAAGACGGCTGCAACTGCTGTTTTTAACAGCAGTAAAGGCTGTATGACACCTACGACAGCTTGTTGTGACGAAGGACTGGAGGCGTAAACATTTTAAAGGCTTATTCCAATACGCATCGTCTGTCATCAGGCTGCTACTGTCAACTCATAACACCTGTGGCAGGTGACATCGACTTTTTCTGGCATTGGGATTTGCAGTGAAATTGTTTTTGGGTGAAATGACAGCATGTTATAACAACTGACAGATAACATTAGACTTAGATTCGTGTACATCACAGTGACATAATTTTGATGATGTGACATGACTAAATCTTAAAAATGGTAAATGCTTACTTTTGTTCAACTAGCCTGACTTAGCAAGCTATGTCATCTTATTAGCATGTCATTGTGACATGCCCTGAGCTACAAAGGCTATACCATTTCACCCCATAATGTGTCATGACAACCTAATGTTAGGAAAAAAATCAGCTGACAGAGGAGTCATGTCAACTTGACATTAAAGTTGGCAAATGCAGCCTGTGTAGTTGTCCTGTAGCCTTATGAACACTGCCCTACAGTAAAATGTTAACCTTTTTTAGGTAATAGTATGTCCTACAGTGTCAAAAATCACATGAGCCACATAAACTACATAAGTGGTTTGAGAGCGCTTGATGAGGTTTGTGGTACGTATTTAGGCAACAAGTTTTATTTACTTGTTAGCCACATTAGCGTTGCACCAGTCACTTGCACAGATAGACTGTGCAGGGTGGGGGTTGAGCCTTTTGCGAATGTACACACCACTGTAGCGCTGCGAATCTGGAGAAAGAAACGCTAATCACCTCTTGAAGAAAGTGTTACATTGCATAATGTGGACATTTTGAACTGCAACCGAACAAACAGCAGTAAATGGTGCTAATAACTTGCAAAAAAAAACAGGGATTTTTTTGCTAGTGATCTATGAGCTCTTAAATATGATTTGACTATAATTTTTAAACAATATGCTGGATGCTGGAGATTGGGGTCCCTGTTTGGGCAGTATGGCTAGTATTTATAGCTGCCTTGAGAAAAGCTCTAGATACGATTGCTTGCAGTAGACTGTATATTTAATTAAGCTTAATTCAGGTTCATGTTGCCCTATTTCTCTTTGAAATGTGCACCTCACGCACTGCAAAAAAATGATATATTTGTAAAATCAAATCACTTTAAATATAGTCAGTATGTCTGATATTTCTCATTGTACAGATTTTTCATCTTCAGTGCTGTGAAAACGTATTTGCCCCTCACCTGATTTCTTCTGTTTTTGCTAATTTGTCACATTTAAATGTTTCAGATCATCCAACTAATTTTAATAAAAGATAAAGACAACCAGAGTAAACCAAATGCACAAAATGCAGCTTTTAAATGATCATTCTATTTATTGAAGGTGAAGATTTATTCAAGACCTATATCACCCATGTAAAAAAGTAATGGCTGTCGGTAACAACTGCAATCAAGCGTTTGCGATTACTTGCGATGAGTCTTTACATCACTGTGGAGGAATTTTGGCCCACTGTTCTTTGCAGAATTGTTTTAATTCGGCTACGTTGGAGGGTTTTTGAGCATGAACTGCCCGTTTAAGATCTTGCCACAGCATCTCAATGGGATTCAACTAAGGACTTTGACTCAGCCACACTAATTTTGTTTTTTTTTTGAGTCATTCAGTGGTGGACTTGCTTGTGTGCTTTGGATTATTCCCCCGCTGCATAACCCAACTGCGCTTGAGCTTTAGGTCATGAACTGACAGGCGGAAATTCTCTTCAGGATTCTCTGATAGAGAGCAGAATTCAGTCATCCAGGTCCTGCAGAAGCAAAACAGCCACAGACCATCACACTACCACCACCATGTTTGACTGTTGTTATGTTGTTATGGTGGAATGTGGTGTTAGCTTTACGTCAGATGTAACGGAACCCATGTCTTCCAAAAAGCTCCACCTTTGACCCATCAGTCCACAGAATATTATTGCAGAAGTCTTGGGGGTCGTTTAGATGTTTTAGCAAATGTGAGACGTGTCTGTGTTCTTTTTGTTCAGCAGTGGTTTGAGTCTTGCAGCTCTCCCATGGATGCCATTATTACCCAGTGTCTTTCTTATTGTGGAATCATGTACATTGACCTTAACTGAGGCAAGTGAGGCCTGCAGTTCTTTAGATGTTCGTCTGGGTTCTTTGTGACCTCCTGGATGAGCCGTTGAAACGCTCTCAGTGAAATTTTGGTGGGCCGGCCACTCCTGGGAAAGTTCAACACTGTTCCATGTTTTCTCCATTTGTGGATAATGGCTCTCGCTGTGGTTCACTGGAGTCCCAGAGCAATGACTTTATCATTTCCAGACTGGTAGATTTCAGTGACTGTGTTTCACATCTGTATTTGAATCTCTTTAGAACGTGGCATTGTGTGCTGCTTTCTGAGACCTACTAGTCTGCTTCACATTGCCTGACAGGTGATGTTTACATTCAACAGGTCTGGCAGTAATCATGCCTGGGTGTGGATAGTGACATTTGAACCCAACAGTCAATTGAATTCGGTTAACTGGTTGATTTACTTTTTTCACATGGGGCCAGGTAGGGATGAACAGCCTTTTTCCTTCAGTAAAAATGAAATCAAACAGCATTTTGTGTTTACTTGGGTTATCTTTGTCTAATATTAAAAGTAGTTTGATGATCTTAATCAAGTGTAACAAATATGCAAACAGTAGAAGGAATTGGGAAGGGACGAATACTTTTTCACAGCACTATGTTGTTTCTTGTATTTTGCTTATCTGCCGATCCTGTGCTGATCTGCCAGTGGAATAAGATTTCAATAGATACAATTACTTAAAACAGGTAAAAAATTCTTGGTTCAATAATCTCTATATTCTAGGTTCAATAATAGTTTTTATAAATATTTGATATTTTCTGTAGATTTAAGAACATTTCAGTTGCCATAATTGTTATTATTAATGAAGCAAATTTCTGATACTAAGCATGTCTTGGCTGATTTACTACATTTGGGTTGAGGAGAAAAATGATATTTTCTCAAAGTGTATTAAATCCATGTGGGTCTTGTGGACCCCAGGTTGTCCCTGCACACTGTCCTTTTTGATCCTCAGGGTCTCTGTACAGCTCAGTAGGATCAGGTGCTGAGGTGTTTAGTTAAACTGAACACTGTCACTGCTCCTGGGTTTGGAGCTGCTGCTCTACAGCTTCGTCTCACTGGGGCTCTTCATCATTCTGAAGGCTGCGTGTGGGCGTAGCTACTCATTTCCCTTCCTCTGTTCATTCGTCTCTTTCACTCTCTCTCTCACCTTCCTCTCTCTCGCTCTCATGCTCTCTCTCTCTCTATCTCTATCTATCTTGTGCTCTGTCGGTCTCGTTCTTTTCTCTTTTGCTTTCTGCCTCTTTCTTGCTCTCTCTCTCTGTCTTTCTCTCTTTTTCTCTCTTATTTCTCTTATTATTTCTCTCCCTTTCTTGCTCTCTCCCTCTCCTCCTCATTCCTTGTTTCTCTCTCTTAACCCCATCTCTCTCTCTCTCTCTCTCTCTCTCTCTCTCTCTCTCGCTCTCCCCCTCTCTCCTTCTCTCTCCTCTCTCTTTGTCTCTCCTTCTCTCTCCCCTCTCTCTCTTCCCCCTCTCTTTCTCCCTTTCTCACTCTTATTTCTCTTACAGTCTCTCTCCCTTTCTTTCTCTCTCTCTCCTCCTCATTCCTTTCTCCCTCTTTACCCCATCTCTCTCTCTTTCTCTCTCTCTCCTTCTCATTTCTTCTCTTTCTCCCTCTTTACCCCATCTCTCTCTCTTTCTTTCTCTCTTATTTCTCGTACTGTTTCTCTCCCTTTCTCTCTCTCTCTCTCTCTCTCTCTCTCTCTCTCTCTCTCTCTCTCCTTCTCATTTCTTCTCTTTCTCCCTCTTTACCCCATCTCTCTCTCTTTCTCTCTCTTCCCCTCTCCTTCTCTCTCCCTGCTTTCTCTCTTTCTCTCTCTCTCTCTCTCTTTCTTTCCCTTTCTCATTTCCCTTTCTCTGTTCACTCGTCTCTCTCTCTCGTTCTCGTCCTCTTTGTTTTCCCCTTCTCTCTCTCTCTCTTTCTCTCTGCCCCCCCCTTCTCTTATTGTCCCCCTCTCTCTATCTTGCACTCTCTCTCACTTTTCTCTCTCTTGCTTTCTGTCTTCTCTCTTTCTTTCTCTCTTCTTTCTCTCTCTGTCTGTATGTACTTTGTATGCTCTCTCTCTCTCTTCCCCCATCAGTATGTAGATGTTGCCTCTCACTGGTGGTTATCA